TTTCTTTTTTAAAAATGGGTGTTGCCCAGGCTGGAGTAAATTGGCGCAATCTCAGCTCACCGCAACCTCCGCCTCCCGGGTTTGAGCGATTCTCCTGCCTCAGCCTCCCAAGTAGCTGGGATTACAGGCACACGCCATCATGCCTGGCTAATTTTGTATTTTTAGTAGAGACGGGGTTTCTCCATGTTGGTCAGGCTGGTCTCGAACTCCTGATCTCAGGTGATTCGCCCACCTCAGCCTCCCAAAGTGCTGGGATTACAGGCATGAGCCCCAGTGCCCAGCAGCTTTAAATTTTTTTGTAGAGATAGGGTTTTGCTGTGTTGCCCAGGCTGGTCTCAAATTCCCAGGTTCAAACGATCCTCCCACCTTAGCCTCCCCAGTAGCTGGGACTACAGACAGGCGCCACCATGCCCTGATAATTTTTTGTTTTGTAGAGATGGGGTTTTGCTGTGTTGTCCAGGCTGGTCTTGAACTCCCAGGCTCAAGTGATTCTCCTGCCCGGGCCTCCCAAAGCACTGGGATCACAGGCTGGGGCCACTGCGCCCGGCTAAGGCCCTGCTGCTTTTTTTTCTTTTTTCTTTTTGGGACAGAGTCTCGCTCTGTCACCCAGGCTGGAGTGCAATGGCACAATCTCAGCTCACTGCAACCTCTGCCTCCCGGGTTCAAGCAATTCTCCTTCCTCAGCCTCCCAAGTAGCTGGGATTAGAGGGACCCGCCACCAGGCCTGGCTAATTTTTGCATTTTTAGTAGAGACTGGAGGTTTCAGCATGTTGGCCAGGCTGGTCTCGAACTCCTGACCTCAGGTGATCTGGCCGCCTCGGCCTCCCAAAGCGCTGGGATCACAGGCGGGAGTCACCGCACCCAGCCAGGCCTTGCTTCTTAGCAACCCACCTGGAAACATGAGACAACCCTACGGAGGCCACCCCCAGCCCGGCTTCTATGGGGGCCACCCCTGTGCCGGCCAGCTGCCCACGTGGGATCAGGCACAGCTGCAGCTGTCACGTTCCTTGTTAAAAATCATAAAAAACAAAATAATGGCAAAGGCCGAAGATGCCGCGAGTGCTGGGCTGGGGATCGGGGCTCGGCGCCTTCTGGGCGTTTCCGTCCAAGGGGTCACCACCCGGACCCCCCGGTAGAGACGGGGAAACTGAGGCTTGGAGCCAGACATGCTGGGGTTTGGCCTTGGGTCCGCCACGTCCCGTTCACGCCGGGACGCGCCGCTCCGCCTCTCGGCCTCAGTTTCCCCCTCTGTCACCGGGCACAACAAGGGACCTGGGCCAGGCCCAGCCCCCGGAAACGCGCACAAACACGGAACGCAGCGGCGCGGGGGTGGGCCGAGGCGGGAGCGCGGATGGGGCCGCGGGGCGACGTCCTCACCAGTTCTTGACTAGCTGCCGGTAGCGCGGGGCCAGGAACCGGGTCACCATCGCGGCGGAGTCGCACCCTCAGGGTGACCCTGTCCGGCTGACCCGGCCACACTGCGCAGGCGCGACCGCGGCGCGCACGCGCGCAGGGAAAGGGAAAAAAAAAGAAATCATCCGCCGCTGTGCGCGCAGACCCGGAAGCCGCTTACAGTAACTTCCGGCGAGGGTTGGACGACCAGGGAGAGGTGGCCCGGGGTGGGCGGGGTTAGGGCGGGGCATTTTGGGCACGTGTTCTGACGGCCGATTTTGCCTCTAGGCTCCACGGGGCTACCTGCCAATGATTTTATGCGCCTAGCATGTGCCAGGACGTCCAGCGGGGTAGCGTCTTGCCCAGAGTCACACAGAGGGGAAGAGCTGGGACTGGAGCCCACTTTTGGAGGCGTCAGGCGTTGTTCCTGATTCGCTGTAGGACTTTGGCCGAGCGGCAGTGCTTCCCTGAGCCTCAAAGTTGCCAGTTGCCTGGAGGCTGTCGGAAATCACTTTGCAGGTTTTCGTTTGCGAGCCTGGGTGATTCCTCATTCAGGCAGCAGAGGGAGGCCTGGCTCCTTGCACGGTGAACGTCTCTGAATGGTCTTAGCTGATGACAGGCAGGTCCTTCTGCCTCCTGCTTTCCATCGCACCAGGCTCGCTTGGGCTCGCCTTTCTCCAGTCCCTGCTTCCTCTGCTCTCCCACAACCCGGTGCAGCACCGTACATGTTCAGTCAGCTCCCAGCTTCCAGCCTCCCCATGCACACCGGGCCGGTGTGGGCAGAAGGAAGAGGGGCACATTCCCAGACACCGCCATGGCACTTTTCTGTCTTTTCCCCCATTTTCAAGAGTCGCCTCCCTCAGGAAGCCCTCCTGGACTGCCTGACCCCCAGGCACCTTTACAGCGTGAAAGGAAAGGCCATAACCTAGACGGGGAACTGGGCGTGATTTGTCCCTGGGGTGCCAGCCTCATTTGCAGGCCTCGTGATAAGGAACGGACACCATGGGTTCGTCTGTCTGCCCAGCCTGGCCTGTCCTGCTGGGGTCGGCCCTCAGTACTCTCCAAGCCTGCAGCTCTCTCGGGGCTGCGGGTGCTAACCCATCCCTATCCCTGGTCAATGACTCAAGGTGGGAGCCGGAAATAGGTTTTGGATACCACAGTCTGGGCACTGTTTCTTTTTTCTTTTTTTTTTGAGACGGAGTCTCGCTCTGTCATCCAGGCTGGACTGCAATGAGGCGATCTCGACTCACTGCAACGTCCACCTCCCGGGTTCAAACGATTCTCCTGCCTCAGCCTCCCAAGTAGCTGGGACTACAGACACGTGCTACCATGCCCAGCTAGTTTTTGTATTTTTAGTAGAGACCGGGTTTCACCATGTTGGCTAGGCTGGTTTTGAACTCCTGACCTCAAGTGATCCAGCCACTTCAGCCTCCCAAAGTGCTGGGATTACAGGCATGAGCCATCGGGCTGGGCGTTGTTTGTAGAACTTTCCAGTTGCCTTGGGGTTTTTGAGCTTGGGATCAGAGAACACAACACCTGAATAAGACTCTTCCCATTGGTGGAAACTTAAAAAAGTGGGATGCAGGGGTTGACATAATGACTACTAAGAGAAAGGACAGGAACACAAGGGCTGCTGGAATGTCAGCCCAGTTTCCAGATGCCACAGTTTAGTAAGAGTTCACCAGGGGCCGGGCGCAGTGGCTCACGCCTGTAATCCTAGCACTTTGGGAGGTCATGGTGGGTGGATCACCTGAGATTAGGAGTTCGAGACCAGCCTGACCAACATGGAGAAACCCCATCTCTGTTAAAAATACAAAATTAGCCAGACATGGTGACGGATGCCTGTAATTCCAGCTACTCGGGAGGCTGAGGCAGGAGAATCGCTTGAAAACCCGAGAGGCGGAGGTTGCGGTGGTGAGCCGAGATCACGCCACTGCACTCCAGCCTGGGAAACAAGAGTGAAACTGCATCTCAAAAAAAAAAAAAAAAGAGTTCACCAGAGAGTGAGAGTGATATAAACAAGAGCTGGGAGATGGAGAGAGATTTGTAATGATGCCTGGATCCAGCTGTGCCTGAAGCCATTCAACATGACATAGAACTTCCTTTTTGTTTCTTGAGCCGGTTTTTGTTATTTTGTTGGACCATCTGGATGCCCCCTCCACCTTTTTTTGAGACAGGGTCTGGTGTGGCTCTCTTGCCCAGGCTGGAGTGCAGTGGTACAATTACAGTTCACTGCCACCGCAAGTTCCTGGTCTCAAGTGATCCTCCCACCTCAGCCTCCTAAGTAGCTGGGACTACAAGTGTGTATCACCAGGCACAACCAATTTAATTTTAATTTTTTGAGACAGTCTTGCTCTCTCGCCCAGGGTAGAACACAGTGGTGCAATCTCGGCTCTCTGCAATCCCTGCCTCCTGGGTTCAAGCTATTCTCCTGCCTCAGTCTCCCAAGTAGCTGGGATTACGGGCATGCATCACCATGCCTGGCTAATTTTTGTATTTTTAGTAGAGACAGGGTTTCACCATGTTGGCCAGGCTGGTCTCAAACTCCTGACCTCAAGTGATCCACCCGCCTCAGCCTCCCAAAGTGGTGGGATGACAGGTGTGAGCCACCGCGCCTGGCCAATGCATGTTTTAAAAGTTGTTTTCCAGCATGAATGTAGAGGCGAGCTGGGTGCTGAGTGGTGGACAGGGCTCCCTCAGCACCTTCTGTCAACTCCTGGCCACTCTCTTCCCCTTAAAAAAAAATAGACATGGGGTCTCACTGTGTTGCCCAGGCTGGACTGGAACTCCTGGCCTCAGAAGATCCTCCCACCTCAGCCACCTGAAGTGCTGGGATGACAGGCATGAGTCACTGTGCTTGGCTTTCTCCCTAAGGCACTTGTGCACCAAAGGGCTCTCTCCTGGGGGCCACCCCCCTCAAGTGGCCAGGAAGGCACTCCTTCCACCCCAGCCCCACAGGGGACCAGGGCAGTCCAGCTGTGTCCTCGAAGAGATGGAGCAGGGAAGCCTCTGGGCACAACAGCAGATGCCGGTGGGCACTTTAGGATGAGCAGTGCCCCGACGGGTCCTGCCACACCTCTTCCCCCCAGAGAGCCTTGTCCATGGTTCTGTGGGTGTCCGGTTGTGGAGGACATCACGAATGCCCCACTGAGGAGTGCGGAGTTGATGCTGCCAGCAATGGGGCTGAGGAAGGTTTCAGAGGGGCAGTGACAGGCTCAGACTTCGGGAGCAGGAAGGGGCAGTGAAGTGGGTTCCAACAGCCCGGGGGGACGATGGGAGATCGGGAGCCCTCGGGCTGGGAGGACCACAGGTCCTGGATGCGCCCAAGTGCAGCCCCCAGAGTTGCTTTTCTCCGGAAGCCAATCCTGCTTCCAGGTGGCCTGGAGCCCTGGGTACAGGTGCAGGTTCCCAGCTGCCCGGGGAGCTGCGGGCCCCTCAGAGTGAGGAGTGACTTCGAGGAGGCCCAGTGCACAGGGCAGACCACAGTCCTCGCTGCACCCACCAAGGTGAACGTCAGGGGCCGAGAGTTTAGGGCAAGACCTCTGACCCTGCCCGCCACTTCCCTTCCTAAACACGTGACACCAGCAAGAATCCAGGGACTGCAGAGCATCGTTATAAAATGTCACATTTATTGCTACAGTGCTGTTATACACAGGACAGGTCTCTGAATCCACTTTAAAGAGGATCGTTTAAAAGTCCCAATAATCCAGCCAGCTGTGTTGACACGTATAAAATTATTTTCTTTAAAAAAATTTTTTTGAAAACCATCTTGAGGCACTCAGAGCACACCTCCCACCCCCCCCCACCCCCATAATTGTGGTTCCCCGACACTGCTGTTTCTCCCTCCTGGCGCCGGGTGAATCTCGTTTAAATTCTATGCAGAACGCGCAGTTCCAGAGGCTACGGGGCCACTGCCCACCCACACCTAGGGGCAGGGCCGGAATCAAAACAAGAGGGAGACAGAGGCAAGTTCCCTAAGAGACCAAATCCCCAGGGCGCAGGGGGAACCACAGAGAAGGGAGAGTGGCAGACAGCCCCTCCCCTCCACCTGGCCTGGACTGGGGGCAGATCCCAGGCCTTGAGCTGGCCTCGCGGTTTCCCTTGAATCTGCCATGGGGCCCAGGCTCCCCAGCAAGTCTGGGGAGGGGAGTCAGGCAGTCCAGGCTCTCCTGGGGGTAACGGTGGGAGTCTCAGGGGTGGCACAGGGGCAGACGCCTGACCTGCAGCCGGGGTGAACACAGCCAGCCCGGGGGTCCGCAAGGCCTCAATGCAGGGAGGGGCATGAAGAACACATGAAGGTGCCCGGCTAGCCCAGCCCACACCTGGGAGCCACAGTGACCGTCACCCTGGCTTGTGTGGAAGTGAACGGAGTCTCAGGGCAGGAAACTTGCAGTTCTAAACCCAAGACAGTCCCCAGACAGCTGGGAAGAGCTGGTTACCCTCATGGCAAGAGACCAGAAAAGGGGACCTGGAGAGAGGCCTGGCTGCTGGCACACAGGACACACATGGGCCCGAGAGGCCACCCCGCTGGTTCTGCAGCCGGGTCGCGCAGCCCAAGGCCTTCGTGGGGCTCACACCAGCAGAGTCTCCCGGCTCCAGCCACTCGCCCTTGGGCCCCACAGAGGGAGGGCAGCAGGTATGGCCCCAGGCCCAGGGATGCTTCCCAGCGTTGCGGGAGACCGGCCAGGGCCCTGGCATCCTGTCTACATCACGATGGCCCTCTGGTGTAATGGGGACATGCGGGGGTAGGGTGGGGGTGTCCTGTGCTGGCTCCTGAGCCGCGTCCCCTGAGTTCAGAGTACGAGCCTGGGTCCCTGGGGCAAAGGAGTGAAGGACAGGGTGTCCAGGAAGGTTCCCAGCACCCGGCCCCAGGGTGTGGCCCCCATGCCAGGGGTCACTGGTCCCAACAACATGCCCCGTTTCGGAGAGGTGTGCAGGTTCCAAGGGAGAGCAGCTTATGGGGGCCTGGGGAGGACGTTGTGTGGAGTAGCCCTGGGGGCCAGAGCTGCTTGGCAGGGTCACCTGGGTCAGAGCCACCTTGCTGACGTCCCTTCCCCCAAGCCCAGGTCAGCCCCCTTCCTGAGGGGAGAGGATGCGGCAGGGAAGCCCCAAGGCGCCTTCATCAGGGAACGCCCACGCATCGCTTTCCACGTGACAAAACCAAGAGGAGAACCCCCAACATCAAAAAAACAAAAGACCCACTGCCTGTCCCCGTTCTGTGTGCAGTGGCTTCCGGGGGGGGGGTGCGGGGGGGCTCAGGTTTACACGGGGTCTTTTTAATACAACGTTTAATCATCTGGTTGATCAGGAAATGCAATGCTCAGTCTAGAAACAGCAGCAGAAATTGCGAGAGACATGGGACTTTTATACAAAAAAATTTGTTGCTTACAAAACATATGCAAAAAAAAAGCTTAAAAAAAAACCAGAGACCAAAGGCAGCATCCTTGCTAATTTTCATCTACATTAAGAAGAAAAAAAAAAAAAATCTTATAACTAATGTTCTTTTTATTTTCCTTAAAAAAAATATTAGGCTTAGGCACAATTTGCTGGTGGCTTTTGAAGCATAAGCCAGGTCTCCACAGCATCTCCCTGGAGTGATATGTTTCCATTTCTCCACTTTTTATAGTTAAGGCATTTTTTTTGTCTGTTCTGACAAAGTGTATGTTTTGTTGCTCGCTGTCAGGTTTTGTTTACTGGGGAAAAAAAAAAAAAAAAAAAACTAAAATTAGCCCAGGCAACAGGGCCAAGACGCGGTTTCAGGATCCACGGGGCAAGTCACAGGGTGACACGGTGGCTGAGATTCGAGGACAGGGGGAGCGAGGCCAGGGAGGGGTGGGCCAGGGTCCCAGGGAGCTCCTGGACCCAGCGTCACCTTGATCGCCCCCATCACTCCGAACCTCGTCAGGTTGGTGTTGGCTCGATGCTGACAACAGGTGTGTGAGGTGTGGACGTGGACGAAGCCTGGGGTCTCGAGTGGCTGTTCTGGGCCCAGCACACAGGGCTGAGAGTGGGTGGCTCGTCCCACGGAGGCATACCTTTCACATGTGCCCGGCGGGGTTGTGGGCTTCGCTCAGGCCTGGGTGGGCAGCTGAAAGCACCATCTGGGGGTCTCCGACCACGCCCGACACCTTTTCCTCTTCTCGCCGTTTCAAACAGGCTGCTTTGGGATTCAGGTTCCGCTCTGGGGGGAGGGGGAGAGCTCTGTGGGAGACGGTCCCCGGGAGGAGGAAGATGTGAGGTGGGAGTGGGGGGTAGGATGTCGGGGAGGACGGGGTGGGGGCAGGGCTCCACGTGTGGTCTCCTGCATTTCCGGCTCTCACCTCCTTCCTTGAGAAGGCTGGGGGGATGGGGTGGGGGGGTTGTAAAGAAGACAGTGGGATCAGACGGTGTCTGTGGAACGTCACTGGGTCTGAATCCAGTCACAGAGAGAGACACGGACAGAGCCTGGGGCCGGCAAGCACAGGAAGACCCCAGCATCTGCTGCTGGGTGTGGGGAGGGGAGAGGGTGCTGGGGCCGCCCTGGCCGGGGAGCCTACCTCGCACCTGCTGCTCCAGCCCCAGGATGACCTGCACGGCCTGCTGCAGGATGAGCAGCTTGGTCTGCGCTTTGTCCGACTTGAGGTGCATCTGGCACATGCGCCCCAGCTCCCGGAAGGCCTCGTTAATATCCCGCACGCGCACCCGCTCCCGCGCGTTATTGGCCATGCGCCTCTCCCGGTCCCTCAGGTCTTTCTCCTCCAGGGACAGCACCTCCTCCGTACTGCTGGGTCACAGCACCGAGGCCTCTGTTAGTGACGGGCCAGGGCTGGGTGGGAGGGCGGGGCTGGGTTGTGGAGAGGGTATCCAGCTACTTGTGTTTGTGCTGGTGTGGGCAGCAGTGCGGGTACACGGCTGGTGTTGGTGTGGGCACAGCAGTGTAGGTACACAGCTGGTGTTGGTGTGGGCAGCAGTGAGGGTACATGGCTGGTGTTGGTGCGGGCAGCAGTGCGGGCACATGGCTGGTGGTGTGGGCAGCAGTGAGGGTACATGGCTGGTGTTGGTGTGGGCACAGCCGTGTAGGTACACTGTTGGTGTGGGCAGCAGTGCGGGCACACGGCTGGTGTTGGGCACAGCAGTGCAAGCACATGGCTGGTGGTGTGGGCAGCAGTGAGGGTACATGGCTGGTGTTGGTGTGGGCAGCAGTGCGGGTACACAGCTGGTGTTGGGCACAGCAGTGCAAGCACATGGCTGGTGGTGGTGTGGGCAGCACTGAAGGTTCACATGCTGCTGTGTGCTGTCACATGCATGAAAATGTGCTCCTCTGTGTGCGTGGGGAATGTGCTCCCTGCAATGCAGCAGAGCCCCATGGCGGGCGCCTGTGTGTGTGCGACTGGCTGCCCAGGTGCAAGTGCCCTCAGACGCAGCTCTAGGGGAGGCTGTGGATGTGGTCACACCCGGGAAGAACCAAGGTCTGACTGTTCCCAGACGTTTCTGTGAAGGGAGGTGGGGCTCTGCTTCCCCCTCTGGGCCCTCACTGGGTAACTGCTTCTCCCTTGACCCTGCTCACTCTGTGGGCCCCAGGGCAGGGCTAGGGGTGGGGGTGGGGCACAGGGGAGGCCCAGTGCCTGCTCCTCTCTCTGTTCTTCCCTCCCAAGATGATGACTTTCCCCATTCAGAGCAGCTGCTTGCGGGGTGATGGACAGCAAGGCCCGGCCAGACCCACTGTGGACAGAGGGGGCCTTGAAGACACATGCTCAGCAGGCAAAGGCCTGGGCCACTCCAAAAACCCACGACTAGGGAGTCCAGGACTCAGAGTCAGGGCTCATATGGAGCACACCAGCTCCCATCCCCCAAGTTCCCCACACCCTGAGGGGGAGCCTCAGAAATGCACCCGCCCCCTACAGTGAACTCCGGCTGCCCCAAGATGAGGCTTCCCTGTAGCACCTGACCCTGGCTGGGAACACTGGCTCCCGAGGCCTTCAGGAACCCTGCTGTCACTGCCACTGCGAATGGTCGCAGTGGCAGCTCTGAAGTTCCAAGCACCTGTTCTGTGCCAGGCCCAAGGCTGAGCCCCCTCTCCCGCCAAGCAGCATGCAGCCGGTGAGCGGGCACTGCTGCTGCCGCCGTGGGGGTGCGGGTCCCGGCCCAGGCCTCCGTGCTGCATGACCCTGCACGGGTGACCTCGCTCTGTTCTCTGGCTCTGTTCCCCGGCTTCCTGCTCAGTAGAAGGGATGCCGGTCCCCATCAAGGCACCCACTGCTGCGGGTTGTGGTGAAATGGGCAAAGGCCTGGCCCAGTGCCCAGCATGCCTGCTGCCCTGTCTTAGGCTCTAGGGAGCTGCCTCACCCACCTGCCTGCCCACTCTGCCTTCGGGGCCTGAGGGGATCCCTCCAGGTGGCGGGGGCGGCCCCTGGAGCCCAGGACAAGCGCACAGACCAAACTGACAGGACCAGGGGCTGCGTGCTCCCGGGTCTGGTTTCTTCCCGCAAGCCCTGATGGGGGCTTTGGGGGAGGAAACGCCCTGAGGCTGCAGCCCAGCCGCTCCCGGTGCTCGGGCAGCAAGTGCGAGGTGAGGAGGGGCTGCCACGGGAAGCAAAGGGACGGAGGGGCGGGATGGAGGGGAGAGCGGAAGGCAGACAGCAGAGAGGCGGGCTTGGGGGGCGCGAGGCGTGCCACACATGGCTGCGGAGACTCAGAAACCTCAGAGCTGAGGGGACAGTGGGTGGGCCGGGCCGGGGCTCTGGCTCCGGTCCCAGCAACAGTGCTGCAGGAGAGAAAGGGTTAACGGGGTGCAGGCGAGGAGAGGAAGGAGTTAAGGAAGCAGCCACCAGCAGCGGGGAAGGAGTCAGCTCACATCCGGGGGTGGGGGCAGGGTCTGTCTGTATCCTTCATCCCCCTGGCCCTGGGAAATGGGGTGATTAACACCCACCTTCAGATTGGGAAACTGAGTCAGAGGCAGGGGACGGGCTCATGTGGCCTTGCGTGGCATCTGCTCGAGGGGAAGGGGCCAGGGTGGTTTGCACACCCGCTCCTGTCTCTGGGTTCGGGGGACACTGGCCTCTGTGAGCTGGGTTCTGGGCTTCCCGCAAAAGGAGGACCGGGGCGGGTGGGAGCCCTGGGAGCTGGGAGATGTAGTTCTGAGCCACAGAGCCCAGGCCTGCAGGGCTAAGGGTGTAGAAAGAGTCCAGTCCTCCCACGGTGGAGGAGATGCTGAGGCAAACAGGGAGAAGGGCCAGCAGTCAGGAGGGGACAGTCATGGCGGTGCGGTCAGGGGGGTGAAGGGCACAGTCACTGCAAGGAGGCAACTGCTGCAGAGGGAGGGCTGGCTCCAGGAAGGCGGGCAGGGAAGGAGAGCGAGGGCAGGAACACGAGGGAGGTGGCGCTGCGGGGACGCTGGTGGCCCGCGCCCCCACTGACCTCGCACTTGCTGTTCCAAGTTCAGGATGACCGAGACGGCCTGGTGCAGGATGAGCAGTTTGGTCTGGGGCTTCTCGCTGTTGAGGTGCAGCTGGCACATGCGCCCCAGCTCCTTAAAGGCCTCGTTGATGTCACGGACCCGCAGCCGCTCCCGGGCGTTATTGGCCACCCGGCGCTCCTTCTCCCGCTCGGCCTTCTGCTCTGGGGGGAGAAGGTCGTCCTCGTCCTCGTCTGGGCTACGGGGGAGGGCGCCGGGAGGGGGCCAGAGGGAGACAGTGAGGTTGGGGGACGAGCGTGGGGCCCGCCGACGGCCTCCCGGTGTGGGTGCAGTGTGTGTGTGGCCTGTGCACATGTGCTTCCTGATGGGGTGGGGGTGGGGAGGGCCGAGGTGGGGGCTGGCACCTGGTCCGGGCCCGGGGGGCCTTCAGCTCCTTCTTCTCCTCCTCCGAGTGGTCAGCCGCCGACGTGTTCTCCTCATCCTCCTTCTCCTCCCGCTTGATCTCGCCGGCGGCCGCCGTGGCACCTGCTCGCCCTAGCCCTGCAACAGGCCTGGGGTCAGGGGCCTGCATCGGCCTCCAGGGCCAATGACATGTCTCTCTGTGCTCCTGTGGTGAGGGGCTTGGGCTTTCCTGGAAAAACCAGGTATTTGCCAAAAATAAAAACAAAAAACCAACAACCAGAACTGGATCCCTACCTCACGCCATGTGTAGCTACCAATGCCAGACAGATTAAGGACCAGAAGGTGAAAAGGAAAGAGTTTTACCACCTTTGGAACAAAGTGTGCCGAAATTCTGCAGTAATTCAGGGGCAGGAATCTCCTAAAATGCTAAAAGAATGCTCTCGTTTTTTGGAGAAGGAAATTGTTTCAATCATTGATTTAAAAATATGCAACACTTCGGCCAGGCATGGTGGCTCACACCTGTAATCCCAGCACTTTGGGAGGCCGAGGTGGGTGGATCACGAGGTCAGGAGATCAAGAACATCCTGGCTAACATGGTGAAACCCAGTCTCTCCTAAAAATATAAAAAATTAGCCGGGTGTGGTGGCAGGTACCTGTAATCCCAACTACTTGGGAGGTTGAGGCAGGAGAATCACTTGAACCCAGGAGGCGGAGGTTGCAGTGAGCCAAGATTGCACCATTGTACTCCAGCCTGGGTGACAGAGAGAGACTCCGTCTCAAAAAAAAAAAAAAAAAAAAAAAAAATTGGAACACTTCAGGAATTTCCACGTCATGTTTTGCAGATGCTATGCTAATATCTGTCATTCTCATTTTAGTCCAAGAGCTGTCCAAGCAAGTGCTCAAAGAGCTGCTTTTAAAAGAACACAACAGGCTGGTCACAGTGGCTCGCTCATGCCTGTAATCCCAGACTTTGGGAGGCTGAGGTGGGAGGATCACTTGAGGCCAAGGGGTCATGGCTACAGTGAGCTGTGATCACGCCCCTGCCCTCTGTCTGTGTGATAGGATGAGACCCTGTCTCAAAACAAAAAAAAAAAGAAAAATCAAAAACCAATAAGCTTAACTTTTATCAAAGTTCAGAGTTCCTGATCAGCAAAGATACCAGGCAAATAAAAGCATTTGCCAAAGAACAGAAAACACCCTCCACAGACGTAGCCAACAAGGAGGTGATCTCCCACACATACAAAAACCTCTGACAAATCAATGGGAAAGGACAGAAAGAAAGGAGCTCAGTAGAAAAATAAGCAAGGTATTCAAACAGGCATCTCATAGACAATGAAACCACATGCCCAGAAACACGTGGAAGTCCGCTTCAGCACATCAAGACATGAAGGAAATGCAAATTAAGGCTGCGATGCGCTACCCTTTCATACCCAGTCAGCTAGCGAAGTTGAGAGACCTGAACATTCAAAATTTTGTCTGTGGGAGGGCAAGTTGGCTGCTCTGGAAAATAATTCATCAGCCTTTCCTCTGAACTGACGACAGGTGTATCACACCCTTGATGAGCAGGTTGGCAGGAAAGCATGATGTTGGGATGGCCTAGTGCCCCACGCCCAGGCCAGGGTCAACGGTGCACTCAAAATGAGACCCCAGCCGCTTGCACCACACACGTACCCCATACACAACATGAGCCAGCAAACCATGTTTGGGGTGTAAAAAACATGCTAGCGGGACACTGTGTTCGTGAAGCTCAAGAACAATAAAAGCAAAACATGTGGCTTAAGCGCACACAGCTACCCCAAACGCATGCGGCCACTCTGCATTCAGCACGACCTGGGCCACCCCCAAAACCCGGGATCGGGGAGTCCAGGAATCAGAGTCAGGGCGCACATGGAGCAAACCAGCTCCCATCCCCCAAGACCCCCGTACCCTGAAGGGGAGCCTCAGAAATGCGCCCACCCCCAACAGTGAACTCTGGTGCAACTGGCCAACACCAGCCACCAGGACCAGCCCAGGCCTCAGTACACAAAGTGAAGGACAGGAAGGAACCAGAGGGGAACCTGCAGGCAAAAGACTAAGCTTGGGGCCACCCCTGGAAACTGCTGACCTGTGGGTCCGTCCTGGGCACTGCCTACCTGTGGGTCCGGACCCTTCTCTGGGACAGGGTCGTCCCGGGGCACTGCTGACCTGTGGATCCGGACCCTTCTCTGGGACGGGGTCATCCCCGGCACTGCAGGGTGGTAAGCAGCATCCCTGGTCCCCACCCACTCCATGCCAGGAGCCCCCCTCAGCTCTGACAACTGCAGATGTCCCCAGGCATCACCCAGTGTCCCCTGGGGGCAGAGCTGCTGGGGTGAGACGCCCTGGCCTAGGGGTGATAAAATCAAGGTACTTGGAAAGGCTGACTGGAAGGCAGGCAGGATTCCTGGGGTGGTGGAGGAGACGGGGCCGGGACAGGGCCCACAATGACCCCGCCTTCTCCTGGGTCTCTCATGGGTGTCTGAGACGCCCAACAATCCCCAGGCCCAGATCCAGATTTGTCCCCAATCCGTTCCTTTGTCCCCTTCCTTGCGGGGTTCCCAGCCCCAGTGTCACCCACAGCTCGGGCCAGAAATCCCAGAGCCACCCTGCCTCCTCTCAACCTCAAGTCGGGTCCGTCACAAATCCTGGGGGCCCCGCCTTCCGGAGATGCAGGGACCACCCGCTGCTCACCCCTCCAAGGCCCCTGGACCAGCCCTGTGGCCTCTGCCCTGGTCTCTGGGTGCCACTCATGGTCTGTCCTCCAAGCAGCCACCAGAGGGTGTCTGTGAGCACCTGGGTCAGGTCCCATCCCTCCTCACCCTGCAGCCCTCCATGGCTGCCACCTCTCTCATGGTGAAATCCCAAGTCCTCCCTGTAGCCCGTCGGGCCCTGCATGACCTGACCTGCCCTCCTCTCCCTGCCCTCCCCCTTCCCTCTCTCCCCCTCCTCACTCTGCCCTAATCCCATGGGTCTCCTGGCTGTTCCTCCCAGGTGCAGTCCATCCCCAGGGCCTCTGCCTGAAACCCTCCTCCTCCAGGTACTTGCCTACTCTCACCTCCTCCCAGACGCTGCCCAAACATCACCTTGTTGCCTCCAGGGCCACCATCTTCAAAGCCATACAAAACCCCCAACCCACTCCGGCCACTTCGTTCATTCTCCCTGGCACCTGTGCTGTACAGCGAGCTCCTGGTCTGTCTCCCCCGAGGCAGGGTCATCCTGCTGCACCCCTTGCCCCCTTCCCCAGTGCCAAACACTGGCAGGCACATGGCACGTGGGAGCAGGCGGATGAAGAGGCAGCCCAGAGCCGTCCACCTCACACACCCAGGGCCAACGCTGGCCCCGCTGGTCTCGCCCACCCTCCTGAAATTGCTGACTGGGGCGCCTGTGTCACCAGGTACCCCCACGGTGACCGCACCTGCCCTGGGTTCCCACCCTGACTCCCACCATGGGAGTGCCTCAGTTTCCCCAACTGGAACCAGAAACCGGACAGTGCCAAGCTCAAGGGCTCACCGCTGTAGGAGTCGGGAGGCCGCGAGAGGTCGGGGAGGGCGCCCGGCTGGCTGGGGAGGGCCGCGTGGTTGTGCATGAGGCTGGTGCTGCCTGCAAGGCCATCCTCGGGGTGTCCGCCTCCAACCTGCAGGCGTGGGAGAGGGGTGCGTCAGGGGGAGCCGGGTCCCTGCCCACTGCCCAGCCCCACCCTCGCCCGGTGCTCACCAGGCCTGCGTGCCGCCCGCCCAGCGACATGGGGCCGGCGAAACCCGAGGCCAGCGCCCCGTGGCCAGGTAGCAGCGTGTGCATGTCGCCGGCTGTGCCCACGGCATGGCTGCGGAGCACGTGGATGGCCTCGTCCAGGTGGTCTTCTATCTTACTCTGCTGCAGGGTGGGAGATGGGTGGTGAGGGGCCCGGGCCGCGGGACCCCATAGGACCCCATTCATGTCCCTTCCACATGCAGGTGGCCGGTGGTCCTGTCTTCCCCTTCCCTGAGAAGCTGTGTTTTGGACCGGCTCAAAATGTGTGTGCCTTGGTGGCCACGAGGCCTCAACAACAGCTTGGGGCTTATTTATGAGAAATTAACTGAAACGTTTCTCCTTCTCAAGGGGCATCTGTCCTGCACATTCTGCCAGGGAAAGGTGGGGCGGGGCGGGGTGGGGCAGGGTGGGCGCTCACCAGGCCGTGGAGACCCCCGTCGTAGCTGGGCGATAAGGCACCGGGGGCTCCTGCGCGAGGCCACTGCGACGTCCCTGGAAGGGGGTGGGGGCACGTGAATGGGGTGCAAGGGGCAGGGTGTGAGCACGGCCTGATGCCTGTGGGGAGGGATTCATGAAGCGCCTGTCCAGCCTCCGGTGATGCCCACAACGGCCATTCCGGGGCACCCCACACTGACGCAAAGCAGCTCTCAGCCCCGCCAGGCAGGGATGCTAGGTGCCCAGTGGATACTGCCGTTCCCATCTGAGCCTGTTTCCCCATCTACAAAATCCAACCCCCCACCCCAGGGGGTAAAGCAGCAGCACACAGCCGGGGCTCCTCCCCATGCCGCCCCACCCTGGCTGACCCACTCCGGGCTCCAGCAGCAGGCAGGGAAGTGGCAAGTTCCAGGTGGGACCAGACAGGCCGAGGTGAAGTGAGGGCTCCTGGCGCTTCCCATGGGGCAGAGGTGAGGACTCACAGATGTTTTTAACCACCCAGACCTTCTGGAAACCCCCGGCTCTCAATCCCACTCCGCCTGCACCTGCCCCCCACCCCCTGCCAATAAGCAGGCACATCCTCACAGGAATAAAAGGGTCTGCCCCCGGGCCAGAGTCCCGCAAAGGGTAAACAGCCAGTATCTAATAAATACCCGGTGGGTGAGCAAATAGCAACATGCACATGTTCTAGAGTCCAGGCCACAGCCCTGGCGCCACTGGCCCCATCGCATCTGGGAGCTGCTGGGCACGCCAGTGTCCCCTCATGTTCATGCTGCGTGAACTGCCAGGTTCTGCCTCCTGGCTTTGCCTGTGCAGTGACCTAACCCGGACGCCACCTCCCAGCCCTCCCTCACTGCCTGGTTATGCGCCATAGCTTTGGAGGGCTGGCTTGGAGACTGCCTCCACCAGGCGGCCTTCCTGGATTGCCCAGTGGAACACAAGCCCACAGGGGATTTCCTTCCACTGTCAGTTCCCGACCAGAGATGCCACAGGCCCCTGGGGGTGAGCTGCTCCCTCCCACCTGCCTGCCCATTCCAGCAACGAGCAGGCACCAGAACCAGCCTCCCCCGTTCCCCAAAACCCTCACAGACCTGCCAGGCCCTGAGGGGAGCCCACGGGGGTGGAAGGGCTGGACGAGAAGTTATTGCTTGAGTGATCCGGGGAGTAGATCTGCGAGTAGGACCAGGAGAGACGAGACGGGAGATCAGGGGCCGGCCTCTCGGGCCACTTGCCTGGTCACCCCCGTGCCCCACGCCTCACTCCCCGTGCCCCACGCCTCACCGAGGCCAGTGCTTTCCCGAGGGCATCCCCGGAGCTGCCAGCTGTGGTCCCTCGGGAGCCTGTGGGTGGAGAGAGGTGAGGCCCATGCAGCCCAGCCTGGGTGCCGCCACCGACGGCAAGCTCTCCTGCGTCCCGCCGTCCCGCACAGACACCACTGCGCTGGGGAGAGCAGCCTGACTCGGGTCCGGTTTCTGTCTGACCCCTCGAAACCAGCCTCCGCAGGAGTGACGCACTGGGGATAGGCCACTGGCAGGGGACCCTGGGTGAGCGAGCCCCTCTCCAAGCCTGAGTGTCCCTCTCTGAGCCTGTTTCCCAGCTGTACGGCGGGAAAGCCGCGCCTTAAAGAGCTGTTTCCAGACATCCCAAGCCCAGTGCACGCGGCAGGCCCTACCGACAGCAGACAATGTGAACTGACGACAGCTCGCTCTCAGGGTCAGCAAACGTGCCTGCACCCCGCCGTGGAGTCCTCGCCAGCCCCCAACTGAGCCCACCCAGGCCCTGCCTGGAGCTCAGTGTCCCCTCGGAGAGGCTGCATCCCAGGGAATGGCCATACCCAGGAGGCTGTCGGCCCCGCTGACAGGCGGCGTGTGGCTGGAGACGCCACTGTACGTGGCTCCGGGGGCCGAGGAGAAGGAGGATGCAGCCGGGAGCCCACCGTTCACCTCTGCTCCGTGCAGCTGGTAGCCCTGGGGGCCGGGCAGGAGGAGGGTGGATTAGATGAGGCACTGCCACCCTCCACCCACCCCGTCCCCTGCCCCGGGCCCTACCATGCGCTCGTGCTGGTGCAGGCCAGCAAACGTGCTGCTGCTTCCACTGCTGCCCACGGGGCCACTGCCGGGCGGGAGGGGCAGGGGGGATGAGCCCCCACCCAGCATGGGCCCGAAGCCCGCCTGGCCCGGGGGACTCCACAGCTCGGCTGAGGGGTGCAGGCTGCCATCTGTGGAGAGGGACTGGTAAGGCGGGGGCCGGGTGGGGAACCCTGGCCCTGCCCCACCGTCCCTGGCAAGCCCCCCGCCGCCGTGTACCTGCCACGTAGAAGGGGGCGGGATAGGCGCTGCTGGGGGTCTTGGCGGACGGGTAGGCGGCAGCATCCCTGCCGTAGTCCTCACCTGAGCTGGGCGGGTACACCTGTGGGCGGGTGGGTGGTGGGGGGTGCACAGTCAGGACGGAGGGGCTGCGCAGGGTCCATCAGCCCACACACCTTGCAGGCCTCACTAAGCCTGGCCTCCTGTCCCCTCTCCTGGTAGCACATTTACCACCCTGTTTCCCTTCCCTGTAAAACCACCCCCGTTTTGGGTAAATCCCAGCCCCTTAGCCCAGTCTGAGGTTCTTACGGGGTCCTTGTCTCTCTCTCCTGCTCCTTTTCCAGCCCCCACCTCCTGCCTCCCTGAACTTCTGACCTTTGTACCTGAGGACTTGGATCTGGCTCTGCCTACTAAGCCTTTTTCCTCCTTAATCCAAAAAACACCTATTGATCCGTCAAAACCCCAGCTCCAACACCCCCATCCCATTCTTCTCCCTTGTTCCCCAGCTGGATTCAATCCTCCAGCCCCAGAGCAACATTCATCTTTGGCTAAAGTAACAGGAAGAGGGATCTGTGATTAGTGCCAACTCTGACTGGCTGGCACTGCCTGGACTGTGGGGCTGGGGCCAGTTGGTAACGTCTGCCCCTGTGCTGCAGCAGAAAGTGTGCTGGGTGGGCCTGATGTTGTAAGACACTGGGGGGCGGTTTCAGGGCAGAGAAAGTGTGTCCTGGGGAAGGAGGGGAGCAGTACTGTTGGGAGCAGAGCCTGAACACGCTTTTGGCCTGGGAAATCAGCCTGACTCTAACCCTAAACCCGGGCCTGTGGGGAGCTGGTCAGCCCGAGGGGAGAGGAGACGTATGCCCAGGGCTCTTGGGGCCAGCACGCGGGCTGGGCAGAGGGTGGTTGGTAGCTACTGAGCCGGGGAATCAGCAAATTGCCACCCCCTCCAGTGAGATGAGACCGCAGGAGTGTGGCACAGCAGCCTAGACCATCTGCGGGGCCTGGCAGGGCGGCAGGGATGCGGGACAGCCTGAACCCACCAGGACGTAACAGGGAGCCCCAACTGTGCGCGCCCCCACCTTTTTTTTTTTGAGAGGGACTCTCACTCTGTTGCTCAGGCTGTAGTGCAGTGGCACAATCTTGGCTCACTGCAACCTCCACCTCCTGGTATCAAACAATTCTTCTGCCTTAGCGTCCCAAGTAGCCGGGATTACAGGCGTCAGCCACCACGCCCGGCTAATTTGTGTATTTTTAGTAGAGACGGGGTTTCACCATGTTGGCCAGGCTGGTCTCAAGCTCCTGACCTCAGGTGATCCGCCCGCCTTGGCCTCCTAAAGTTCTGGTATGACAGGCGTGAGTCACCACACCCGGCCCAACTGTGCCCTTTCTAAAGGGGCCTCAGACACCAGAACCGCCTTTCTCTCAGAACAAGACAGAGGCTGGACCTAGGGAAGGAGCTCCCTGCCTTCCCTCGGAAGCGGCCTCCTGTCAGAGCTAGGGCCTTGGGGCAGATCTTGGCTCAGAAACCGCAGGGGACCTGTTCACTCACGGCCCACCCCCCATGTGTGTTCCCAAGCTTCGCCAGGACACGGGGCCTGGCACTGCCGCTGACGAACTGTGGGGTCCCTTCTCCCTTGTGCGACTCACCGAGGATGGGAGACCCGGCGGGACCTTCCGGACCTTCTTGGGCTGCGTGTCTGTTGGGAGTGAAAAGGGTGAGAACCGGCCACCGGCCATGAGAACAGCCCCTGCCCTGCACCCTGGAGGAGAGAGCCTCAGAATTCCCGTGTCATAAATAAGAAACCTCGTGTCAGCCGGACACAGTGCCTCACACCTGTAATCCCAGGACTTTGGGAGGCCAAGGCAGGCGGATCATGAGGTCAAGAGATGGAAACCATCCTGGCCAACACATTAGAAACCCCGTCTCTACTAATAATACAAAAAGTGGCCAGGCGTGGTGGCGGGCGCCTATAATCCCAGCTACTTGGGAGGCTGAGGCAGGAGAATCACTTGAACCTGGGAGGCTGAGATTGCAGTGAGCCGAGATCGTGCCACTGCACTCCAGCCGGCGCGACAGAGTGAGACCCCGTCTCAAAAACACAACGATGACAACAAAAAATCTCAGGTCTATCTACATGGCTCCAAAAATGTAAAAGAACCATGACGGTTTTCTCCTGCGACGCGCAGTTCAGAAAAAGAGGAGTTGATGGGTCCTGAGCGAAGGCTCTGCTGAGAAGCCCCGTGGCCCCACCCTCCTTCCAAGATGGCCCCGACTATCACATGCAGTCAGGCCTCACCACTCGGGGCTGCTGTTTGCAAACCCGCCTATGGGACAAAATCCATAACCCGGAAATCAGCACTCAGGCGCCTTCCCGATCACTCGCGGACATGGGCAGAGCGGGAAAAGGTCGAGCGACCCAGGCGCATGTGCCCAGCCGAAGCCGAACAAAGGCCGCCTCCCACATCACGGGGCTCCTGTCCTTGGTGTATTCAGAGCCACAATCTTTTACGTTTTTGTGCTTTTTGTGGGTGATTTCACGCTTATTTTTTTAGGCAGGGTCTTGCGCTGTTGCTCAGGCTGGAGTGCAATGGTGCGATCGCAGCTTACTGCAGCCTCGAACTCCCAGGGTCAAACCATCCTCCTGCCTCAGCCTCCTGAGTAGCTGGGACCACAAGCGTGTGCCACCATGCTCAGCTAATTTTTAAAAGTTTTTGCAAACGTGGGATCTCCCTATGTTGCCCAGAATGGTTTCCAACTTTTGGCCTCAAGTGATCCTCCTGTCTCGGCCTCCAGGGTAGCTGGGACACCAGGTGAGTGCCACCACACCAGGCGAGTGTGCTGCGTGGACCCAGGTGAGTGCCACCACGCCTGGCGAGTGCGCTGCGTGGAATGGGCGCCGGGTAGTTCGAGGTGCCGTCCAGTGCTCCTGAGCCCAGAAGGCGGTGATGCGCCTTGCAGGGGATGCCCAGGCGTGCACGTTCTGCTCAGGCGTGAGCAGCAGGGCTCAGTGTAGAGGAACCACGATGCACCTCGTGAGGGGTCTTACACAGAAACCACATGCACAGAGCCCGCACCCATCAGCCACAGGAACCGCGGGACCAGAGGCTCGTAGGAACCTCTCCCTGGACATGTCACGGGAACAATCTATCAGCCCCGTGCAAAAGTCGTTACAGGTTTTGCCACAACGGTTTGTGGCAGCCTCATGGGCCAGGGCCACCGGGAGTAACGAGCCCCCACCTGCCCCGGCCTTGTCCCCCATCACCGTCCACCCCTCCCACGGCCCAAGCGCCTGGCGTCCAGCCAGAACCTGGAAGGTGCAGGGTGTGCTCCCTCTGGTGCCCTCAGCTAACGGGGCCCCCCAACTCCCTTTGCAGGCCCCCTCCCCGCAGCCCCCGACGCCCTGGCCAGACCCCGCTCACCTAGGCTGCCGTCCGCCGCTCTCCGCCGGGAGCTGCCAGAGTAGGAGGGGTAGTACTGGGAGGTCCCCTTCATGCCCGAAGGGGACAGGGGCCCGGGGCTGCTGAGCGCCAGCTCGCCCGACAGGAAGCCAGCCTGGTGGGGAGCGGGTGGTCAGGAAGCGCCGGGCTGGCATCCAGACCCCAGGCTGTTCCATTCAAGAAAAAACTGCAAAGGCCGAAGCCGCTCGGACCCGCCCCTCAGTGGGCGATGCCCCTTCCGCCTGCTCGCAGAGTTTCTGTCTGACACCTGCCGTGTTTCTCCGACTTAAGACTGACCGCAACCCACACTGCTGTTTTCACAAAGAACGAAAGACTGAGAAACAGAGGCCAGCGCGGCTACCCCAAGGGGCTGCTCCCTGGATTCTGAGACGCGAAAGTACAAAGCTGTGTGGCTCAGCGTCTGTGCACCCGGCTGCTTCCTATCTTTTTGGTTTTGTTTTGTAAAACCCTCGGTTGGGGCTGGGCACGGTGGCTCAAGCCTGTAATCCCAGCACTTTGGGAGGCCGAGATGGGCGGATCATGAGATCAGGAGTTCGAGACCATCCTGGCTAACACAGTGAAAACCCGTCTCTACTAAAAAATACAAAAAGCTAGCCGGGCGAGGTGGCGGGCGTCTGTAGTCTTAGCTACTCGGGAGGCTGAGGCAGGAGAATGGTGCAAACCCGGGACGCGGAGCTTGCAGTGAGCTGAGATCCAGCCACTGTACTCCAGCCTGGGTGACAGCGTGAGACTCCGTCTCAAAAAATAAATAAATAAATAAAATAAAACCTTCGGTTGGATTCTGTATGTGTTAATGTGAAATGGGCTTTCTTCCTGGGGAGCCAGGGCCACACTGAGCCGGGTCCCGGAACGGACTCCTGCATTTCATCTGCTCTATCATCATCCAGTGGCCCCATGGGGTGGCCCAGTGCCCAGGACAGGGCCTTCTCCCGAGGCCCAGCCTGTCCTGAGCCCGCATCCTGTGTGGCTACGGCGGGACTCGATGAGTCACCAGGGAACGCCAGAGAGCAGGGCCCGAGACCTAGTTCTGCTTCTCGGATGCGGAGCCCCGGACCTGTGTATTCCTGTCTGTAAAACGGGCACGTAGGCCGGGGCCCCTCGTGGGGACTGACTGGGGAAACGCAAGTATACCCCTGGCACAGAGCCTGGTACCCGGCTGGCCCTCAATCACGGTGGCTGCTGCTGTTCTGGCTTGGGCACAGAGAGCACACAGATGGCCCCATCTGTGACAAGGCCGAGCTCCACCGAGGGCCAGGAGCTGAGGGCAGGGACAGAGACGAAGTCCTGGGATGAGGGAGGAACCCTGGGAGTGCCCAGGACTGGGGGCTGCACGGGACTCCTGTGGCTGGTCACAGCCCCCAACATCCCCGCCCCCAGCCTCACAACCAGGGCCAGCATGGGTGAGGATTTCGGCTCCCCAGGGGGTCCACACCTGCGAAGGCCTGCTGCGTGGTCTGTTTTCCTACCTGCCACTCAGGTGGGCGGGCAACGGAGCCCCTCCAGCTGAGCATGGCAGTCCCACAGGCCTTGGCCTCCCTGGTCCTCACCTGCCTCCCCACTCCTCCCGGTCCACACCCACCCAGCCCACCCCGGCCCAGGCCCAGCCTGGTTTCACTGCGATCAGGAAGCAAACAGAAGCTGGCTGAGCCACCAGAGCTTCTGCAGATCAGGGAGGGTGGGTGACACATTTGTTTACAATTAAAATACCCCCCAGGCCGGCCTGAGCCCCTCACCTGAGTCAGGCCGCCCACGCCTGCGTCTCTCCCAAAGGAGGCATAGGCACCCCGCTCGCCGCTCTTGCCTGCAAGGGGAGAAGGAAGGTTAGTGGGAGGTGACCCCAAGGAGCATCCTGAGGGCCCCCCGAATGCCTGACATGTGTCCACATACAAAGGCTCTCAGTATGTGCACACGACTGAGAGCACCGTGGCAGGACGCTGGCAGAGCCTGACCCCAATGTGCCCGTTTCAGGGAGCCCTGACCCCAGTGTGCCCGTTTCAGGGAGCCCTGACCCCAGTGTGCCCGTCTCCCACAGAGCCTGACCTCGGTGTGCCTGTCTCCTGCCCACCAGCGACAGGCTTGGGGACAAGAAGGGGTCCCCGATGATTCTGGCGTCAACACTGAGTGTTTGCAGCCCACATAAGCCCTGCATGGAGGGGGTGGGAAGGGGATAGCAGAGCTCGCCGGGGCCGTGCTTCCTGCTGGCCAGGACCCTGCCCTTCCTGAGCCTGTTTCCTCTGTTCCAGGCGTTGAGGGGCTGATGCCCTGGGGTGCTGAGCTCAGAGGCATTTGTCTGTCCCAGGGGACAGGCCTGGGGGCCCTGGCGGGGAGCCCCGGGGCCTGTGCACACAGCATCAGGTTCAGCGCACGGGTCCCTGGGTTCCCCTGGCACAGGCTCCCCCAAAGTGCCCAGCATGCAGCCTTCAGGCCAGGGTTCATTCACAAATGAGCATGTGACCTGCGCTCTGCCAGTAAGCACCTCCCTGGGGTGCTCAGTGACAACGGGCAGGTGAGGCCTTGGGGCTACAGAGGGGGACGGCTGGCCGGGACGAGCCCCCAGCATGGAGGGCCTGGGGGTCTACAGAGGGAAACAGCTGGCCGGGGTGAGCCCCCAGCATGGAAGGCCTGGGCTACAGAGGGAATAGACTGCCTGGGTGAGCCCCCAGTGTGGAGGGCCTGGGGCTGCTGCAGAGACGCCTGGATCCAGCCTCGCCTGAAGCAGGCACCCGATTACTTAGCACCTGAGCCACTTAAATCCCCTTCTAGCTGACACTGGGCACAGAATGTGACTGAGGCTGCTGTGAAGGGCTGAAAAGCGCAATTGACTAATGTACATTATTCTCGAACCAGGAAAAAGTTCTCCAGTTTTTGAATTTTAAAAGTTCAATGATATCCCAACTTCTGGAACAAATGCTACTGTTTTTTGCCTCCCATTTCCTCATCTTGGTGACCCTGGGGACATGGGGAAAATGACAGCCACGACCCACTCCACAGGCCACACCCGGCTACAGGAGCTGCTTGCTCAGCAACTCGGGTGAGAAAACTGAGGCCAGAGGAGCCTGAGGTTATGCCCCCACAGGCCTCCCTGGGACCCCCACCTGTCCTCTCCAAGCTGCTTGGCTATGGCCCAGGCCTCACCCGTGGGGGAGGCAGGTGGGACACGGCTGGGGTCGGGGCACTGCTGGCTGGGCCGTGGGAATTGCCCGCGTCAGCCCTGCCCACCCTGGGGCCACTGAGGACATGAGGAAGAGGCCGGGAAGAAGGAAGAGCCAGTGGGGAACCGGCCCTTCCGGGTGCAGGGGCCACCCAGGGCAGGGGGGGGCCAGGGCCAGGACTCACCTACCCCGTGTGGGGAATGGGCAGAAATCGCCTGTGGCAGGTGGTGGGCCCTCAAGCACACCCGCCCCCACCTTCACACTATTCGCTTCCTACTCATGACACCAACCGACTCTACTGTGTTCCAAGTCCTAGCCCGGGCAAAGTGAGACAGGACCACCCCTGCCCCGCTGTGGGGCAGAACCAGGGGCTGCCCTTCAGGGTCCAGAGGAAAGGTTGGGTCCCCCGAAGTCCTTCGGGCCTCAGTTTCCCCCCGGCCAACAATGCTGAGGGGTACACGGTGCGCACCCAGGCCCTGCAACAGGTCCAGCGCTCCGCAGCTCCCGGCTTCTGAGCAGCGCATGCCCCCACCGCACCACGGAAACCACGAGGAAACCCCGCCTCAAACTGTCAGCTTCCAGAGACCGGGAAGGATCCCGCCTCCCAGGATGACTGAGGGACGAAACCACAAATTCCACAGCGGAGGCACTGGGGCAGGAGGCTGACCATGACAGCGGGACCCCCGAGCCCCTTGCTAGCCCCCCACGCAGCAAGACCCCCGCAAGACCCCTGCCTAAGCCCCCCGAACCCCGGGGCACAGGACTTGCCACTCCCGCAGAAGGTGGAGGATGTGAAGCTCGGGGGATATCCTGGGTCACCCGCAGGAGGGACGGCACACAGGACACCATCCCAGCCACAGCCCCAGGTCAGCCCCACCCAGCCACAGACCCTCAGCCAGGTGCCCTCCCCAAGCATCGGTTCGTTCCCCTGCAGCACGGGTGAGCCTGCACTGAGGCTGCGATATTCACAGGACCAGGCACCAACCCGCACCTGGCATTTGGCAGGGCCTGCAGAGCTGGGCCAGTCCTCACCCGCCTCCCTCTGAGAAGGTTCTCCCTCAGAGAAGGTCCCTTTCCTACAGTGGGGAAACTGAGGCTCAGAAGAGGATGGTGCTTGCCCAGGTTCCGTGGTGGGGTGGGACCAGATACCTGGCCTGAGTCGTCATTCTTTTTTTTTTTGAGATGGAATCTCACTGCGTCACCCAGGCTGGAGTGCAATGACGTGATCTCGGCTCACTGCAGCCTCCACCTCCCGGGTTCAAACAATTCTCCTGCCTCGGCCCCCTAAGTAGTTGGCACTACAAGTGCCCAACACCATGCCCGGCTAATTTTTGTATTTTTGGTAGAGGCAGGGTTTTACCATGTTGGCCAGGCTGGTCTCAAACTCCTGACCTCAGGTGATCCACTCACCTCGGTCTCCCAAAGTGCTGGGATTACAAGCATGAGCCACCGCGCCCGGCCTGAGTCACGATTCTCTCAGTTAACAGGAGGGCCCCCCAGGGAGAGAGGGTGGGCGGTCTGCGGAAGGGCACAGGCTCTGACCACCGCACACGCTGGCCACCTTCCTGAATCTCCAGAACTTCCCAGCGGGCACAGGCTGGCCCTGCTGACCCCTTCCCGGGAAGCAGGAGGAAGAAATCCAGGAAGTGGGTTCTGGAACAGCCTCCCTGCCTCTACACTCAGGCGGGGAAGCCGAGTCGCAGAGCACCGTGCCAGGGAGTCCAGGCTGCATCCCCTGCACCTCCCGCAGCTGCTCCCAGGACGGGCAGAGGCTTTGGCAGTCCGACACCCTCTGGGTGAACGCCGGGGACCTGCCTGGCACTGTGCGTGCACTGACCACGCCAAGGCCCACATCTGCACATCTGTGCACGGCAGAGGGACCGCACCAGGCCGGGCACTCACCTCCCAGTCCCGGTCCCAGGAATGTGGATGAAGAGAGGCTGCTGTGCGACTCAGTGAAGTGGGTGCCCTCGCTGAAGGTCTAGGGGAGACGGGGTGGGGATGAGAGGTGCTGGGGCTCCACAATCCGCCCCCTACCCCCATATTACAGCTGGAGAGGCAGGACCCAAACCCACGTCTCCTGGTCCAAACCCCTGGAAGACTGGCCCCTTCTCTCAGTCTGTTTCCCCACACCGCCCGCCCCCACTCTGGGGACAGGAAACTCAGGGTCTCAGGTCTCATGGGGGCTCCTACCCGGCTGGGGTCAAAGGAGGAGCTGTTCTGGTCGCCGCTGCCCCAGGAACCTGAGCTGGGCCGGTCCTCAAGACCTGCAGGCAGGACAGAGAGAGTTACAAGTCACCCTCACGCCTGCCCAGCTCTAAAAGCTTCGGTTTCTGTCATCTCAGGGGCAAGCCTCAGTGGACCCAGGGGGCTTGTGAACCCTTCCTAACCCAGGCTCACCCCGTCTGACTCATGAGGACACCAGTCAGCAGTTAACACCCAGACACCCTGGGACTCGGAGCACTCACAGGTCCATAAACTTGAATAACTCTTCCATTGGCTCTCTGCTGGCAAACTCCTACCCACCCACTGAAGCCCCAGCCATCATGCCCTCCTTGGGCAGAGACCTCGCTCTCACACGGGGCTTCCTCCCCATCAGTCCCAAGCCCTTCCCTCTGGCCCAGCCCTGACTACGTGGGCTGGGGTCTGTGTCACATGCAGATGCTTCCGACCCTGCGAGAAAGGCTCATGAGAGCATGAGGGTGTGGAAGCGAAACCATGCACTCTGGAGGGGCCCAGGGTCTCCCTGTCCCCAACTGCCAGTGCGGGAAATGGGGCTGCCCTTTGCTGAAGCAGCAGCAGAGGCCCACCCACTGGGCAGGAGACTGGCAGCCCGTGAGGGTGGAGCCGAATCTCGTCACCCGGAACAAGCCCAGTGCCACCAGGGGCCCGCGTGGGGCAGGAGTTCCCGGTGCAGCAAGGGACGAGATGAGGACCTTGGTCCCGGGGCGGGGCGGGCGGGGCCCTTATCTCTCAGAACACTCGCAGGCAACGCCCAGGACTCCAGAATCTTCTGCCCTGGGCAGGGCGGGCCTGCTTGGATCCTTTCCCCTTCCATCGGGGGCCACAGAGCACACCCTTGGAGAAGCAGGAGCAGCCCTGGGCCTCCTCAGCTTGGCCACGGGGCCACTGCCCTGCCTTGGTTACCCCCTCCATAAACAAATTACAAACGGGCCCTACTTTTAAAGGGCTTGGGGTGTCCATGTCCAACTCTCAAGTCCAGGGGCTTCCCAAGAGCCAGGCCTGGGGTACCCAGCCCAGCGCTGCTGTCTGTGACAGGCACCACCTCAGGCTGTTCTCCCCACGCGGACTCCACACAGCAGGCTGCGGGACCCAGCTCCGCCCCTCCGCCCCACCCCTCTGCCCTCCCTGCTCGTGGGCACCAGAAACTTCTTTCAAATTGCATCCTTCTATTTCGGTGCCTTTGTGTTAATCATTCCCCCCGGGAAGTATTGGTGTTTAATTGCTGTCTGATTTGCATAATTATGCATATTAATCTCTAAGTCTAATGAATATTCATACGCCTCATTTAGATTTTGTTTTCTAATCAAAAATTTCCAATGTGATTATGAGTGGGGGGCTGGGATGCTGTCTTGGCTGAGCTGAGGGCCAGGCAGGGGGCTCCTGTAGTCTCCAGGAATCCACACGGCATTCGCTGTCAGGTCTAGGCCATCTGCACCCCGAGGTTCTGGTCCTGCACGTGGGCCCCGGCGAACAGGGCAGCTGCTGAGGCCAGGGCGCGCTGGCTGTGTGGGTGGGAGGGCAAAGCGCCGGCACCCTCTGGGCCTCAGTTTGCCTCTACACCACCTGTCTGCTGTCTGGTCCCCTCTGGCCACAGTCCGCTCCCCAGGAGGTGCAGAGACCCCCAACTGAGCAACGGGAGGCTCCTGGCACCCAGCCCTCACCCCCTGGAAGGCGTGGCATGGTGGGGGGCCTCCTTGGGGCCCCATGCCCAGGTTGCCCCCGAGGCTCACTCCAATAGGCCCCTGGCAGAGGCAATGCCTCAATCTGCTCTTTCGGAGAACCCTCCCTCACCCAGTCCTTGGCCTCCTCCTCCTAGAAATGACAAAAATAGGGACAGCCCCCCCATTAATAGTTATTAAAATCCCCCCACCGATTAATTATGCATTTTAATAATCCACCATGAATATTCATAATACATCCCCTGCTCCTTTTCTAATTAAAATGTACTAATAGAGTAAGACGCTGCTGTCAAGAGTCTGGTTTTCTGTGATTTCTTTGGTGAAGCACTGCAGAGTTTTAGCCAGGAAGGGCACCTTCCTGCCCTGGGCCAGCCTGGCTGCCTCAGGGAGAGGCCTGCAAGCGGACGGCATGGGGGAGCTGGGGAGAGGGCCCCAGGAGCTGCCCATCCCTTGGGCTTCGGTTCCTATTCCAGTCACAGGGGTATGGAAGCTGCCCACCTGCCTGGGCTGCCATGAGGATAACAACGAATGATGCTGCTTCAAGAGAGGCCATCGGTGGCCAACGAACGCTCAATGATGGTGGCTTCCCAGCCCCAGTCCCCGTTGGGTCCCCTCCTGAGAGGGACCAGGGACTGGTCCTTGCCTGGTGGCTTGCTGGCAAAATGGGAGGGGGGGCTTCAAAAGGTGCTCAGTAAATACTGGGTAGGACTGAGATTTGTCTGCAGCAGGGATCAGCAAATAGTACACATGGACCAAGTCTGGCCCTCAGCTTGCTTTTTAAATAAAGTTTTATTGGCACACACTGTGCCCATTTGTCCATGTACTATCTACGGCTGCTTTTGCTGCAAGAGTAGAGTTGAAGAATTCCAATAGAGACCATCTGTCCTGCACAGCCAAAAATATTCACTCCCTGGTCCTTTCTGGGGAGGGCTGGCTGACCTTCATACAGAAGACTGCCCAAGTGGCTTCAGCTGCCTCTGCAAAAGAAACCCAACTGACAGACTTCAGTACCAGGAGTGGGGTTACCATGCTGGGCAAGCAAAACTCTTGGTGGACACGGGCCCTGAGTACAGCCCTGTGTACTGCCCCTGCCAAACCCTCAGGCACACCACCAGGTGGTCTGGCTTCAGACGGGCCTGGGACTTCATCCTGTAGCCCCAGCTCTGCAATGAGCCCCCCACTCAGGTGCTCAGGCTAAAGTCCTGGGAGTCTTCTCACCTTCCCTCCTCCCAAAGAACAGCAGCTTGCCCCATAGCTATACAGCAGCGAGTTAAGCCCCGTCCCTGCAGCAGCTTCCTCCCAACTCTGCCGACATCCTCAGGCAGCCTGATGGAGCCTTTAGAAGCAAAACTTGGCTCTTCTCCCTCCCTCTAGCCTCTCTCATGGCTCCCATCATCCTCAGGATAAAGACCAAACTCTTCCCTGACCTCGTCACTCTCCTCTTCACCCAGGACGACATGGGTGACCCACCCATCGCCCTGACCTTCTGCTGGCTGCTCCAGCTCTGGTGCGCCTCTTTGTTCCTCGCATTGACTCTGAAAACACAGTGTAGTCCCCCAAACCTTCATCCTCAACATCTTCATTTCACTCATAAATAACTGTGCTTCCAGAACATTTCCTGTGAGAATTAAAATGTTCTCCACCTCTGCTGTCCAATACGAGCCACACTATCAACTGCTGGAAACGTGCGCCAGCATTTTTTCAAGCGCATTAAAAATTACACTAACGGCCGGGCACGGTGGCTCAACGCCCGTAATCCCAGCAATTTTGGAAGCGAGGCGGGCGGATCACGAGGTCAGGAGATCGAGACCACCCTGGCTAACACGGTGAGAAACCCCGTCTCTAACTAAAAACACAAAAAAAATTAGCCAGGGGCCGGGCGGGCGTGGCTCAAGCCTGTAATCCCAGCACGTTTGGGAGGCTGGGATGGGCGGATCACGAGGTCAGTGAATCGAGACCATCCTGGCTAACACGGTGAAACCCCGTCTCTACTAAAAAAATACAAAAACTAGCCGGGCGACGGTGGGGGGCTGTGGTCCCAGCTACTCGGGAGGCTGAGGCAGGAGAATGGCATAAACCTGGTAGCGGAGCTTTGCAGTGAGCTGAGATTCGGCCACTTGCACTCCAGCCTGGGGAACAGAGCGAGACTTCAGTCTCAAAAAAAAAAAAAAAAAAAAATTAGCCAGGCGTGCTGGCGGCACCTGTAGTCCAGCTACTCAAGAGGCTGAGGCAGGAGAATGGCGTGAACCCATGAGGCAGAAGGTTTGCAGTGGAGCCGAGTATCGTGCCACTGGCACTCCAGCCTGGGCCAACAGAGGCGAACCTCCATCTCACAAAAAAAAAAAAAAAAAAAAAATTTGTTTTTTGAGGCAGGGTCTTGCTGTTGCCCAGGCTGGAATGCAGTGGCACGATCTCGGCTCACTGCAACCTCTGCCTCCTGGGTTCAAGTGATTTTCCAGCCTCAGACTCCCACATAGATGGGACTATAGGAGCCTGCCACCATGCCCAGGTAATTCACACGCTGGCCAGGCTGGTCTTGAACCCCAGACCTCAGGTGATCCGTCCACCTCAGACTCCCAAAGTGCTGAGATTACAGGCATGAGCCACAATGCCTGGCCAATTAAAAAAAAAAATCTTTGGTAGAGATGGGGTCTCACTACATTGCCCAGGCTAGTCTCATACTCCTGGACTCAAGTGCTCCTCCCACCTTGTATTTTCCAAAGCCCTGGGATCACAGGTGTGCGCCAGCAGGCCCAGCCTCCATTTTATCTAAGTTCAAGCTACGGGAGAAGGTGAAACACCAAGATGCCCTAGGCCTGGCTGGCGCGCTGCGGCTGCCCTGCGTTTATCTTCCTGACTTGTCTTCTTGGTCAGGGGCCACAGGCTGTGGCGCACACTCCCAGCATTCTCAGGATCCGGAGTCGGGGAGAAAAAGTTTCTGGGGCAGCACAGAGCCCTTCCTTGCTGGGGGGCTGCGGGCATCCCGCGAAGCCCCTCTTCTGTCTGCCCCAGTGTCTGGTGGTGGGGGGCAGCAAAGCAGGGCCCCATGGCCCTCCCGTGAGCAGACAAACCTGAGGCTGAACAG